TCAGCTGAAACAGTTCCCTGCTGCGTTTGTTGCGTTGCCAGTGCTTTGTCTACCTCCTCCTGGAATTGACTACAGACCTGGGGGTTCTGAGTAAACATCGAGGTGTTGAAGCTACGCTTAGTTGTCTGGTTTCCCTTCCGCCAGATTGGAAATAACGCACGAAGCTGCAGTGTGGCAATGACTATTCTGTGGTCCGTTGGTGTCTCGCAGCCTGCATAGCTACGTGCATTACACAGCAGTGGCTTGTGTTGCGTACGGCAAAGAACAAAATCGATCTGGTTGTAGACAGGTTGTGGGCCAACTTCTCCACTCCCAGGTCGCCGCCAACCCGTCCATGTAGTGCGGTGGCTCTGGCGGTGTTGAAAAGCTGTATTGGCCAAGAAGGCATCATTTTCAATTGACCATTCCAACATGTGTTGTCCGTTATCATTTCTGGCGCCTCTGCTGAAGGAGCCTAGCCATTTACTTTCATCAGCTCTCTTACGAATTCCAACTTTGCTGTTGAAGTCTCCAGCGATGAAGCATAGAACTCCGCTTCTCGTTGTATCTTTCCATACAGTCGACAAGGCGCTGTAGAACTCCTCTCTCAGCGATGGGTTCTCTTCACAGGAAACAGCGGTAGGGCCATAATTATGCACTTATGACACGTACCGTGTTGTGAGTTGGTTTACAATTACTATTATTTTTGTTGCAAGGGAAAACAAATTCCGCAACACCAATTCTCTCACCAACGCTCCAGTATCTTGACAGGAACGGGTCCAGACGAGGAGCGACGACAATGCCTACTCCTCGCTGATATCCATGGTCCTGAGCGAACGTTATGAGCCGGTACCCCAGCGGTAACACGGTACAATTTGCTTCACAAATTTTTGTTTCTTGGACTGCACAAACATCAACTCGATACCGCTTGAGGTCTCGTTCGAGCGAGTGCCTCTTCCATGGCGCAGTGAGTCCTCGTACGTTGAATGTAGCGACCCTAAACTCATTGTTTAGCCCAAACCGTTGTGCAGACTGTTGTGGAGGATCCGAGGAGGAACCTCCATCCATGGCCGTCACCCCATGGTCCAAAAATCCAGAAGAGAGTGCAGAAAGCCAAAGCGTACCAGTCTTTGGCCATCGAAAAAACATTCATTAGAGATGACATAGCTAGGTCTACTGATACCTTGGGCAAAGTACGGTCACAATTCCGGTGGCTGTATCGTCAAGCCCGTGCATTTCTCTCGGAGCATGACTTTCTCCGCTTTTCCATGCTCATTTCGGAGAACGATGATAAACTGCAGACCCGACTCATCGCTAAGTATTCAAAGAATATCAAATGGCTTAGGAACAAGCGTTTTGGTTCAATATCTATTAACACCAACATCATCATCAATCTCACAAACATTGAACTCACTACAGTACAGAAGGAATTACTTTCCAGAGGCATTGACTTCGGAATACCGCCAAAATCCAACATGAAAGAACAGGTCCTGGCCGACTTCGAGTTATTCTACCGCAAACTAGAAGAGTTTGTGCCGGTAACACAATCGAAGAAAGCGGTATGCACTGCTAACCTCCGTGCTATAGCAGAGGAACATGCCGAGCAGCCGGTGGATAGGAAAGCCTTTTCATTATCGAGAGAGCACATGAAAGCCCGGTCAGAAATGAAAGCGAACAAGGATATAGTCATCACGAGACCGGACAAAGGCCGCGCCACTGTAGTCATAAGTCGAATTGAATATAAGTCCAAAATGGCCAACATTTTGGATGACAGGACCAAATTTGAGTTGCTTGGCCCTGTATCAACGCACGATCGAACTCTAATCCGAGAAAAGCAACTAGTGAAATACCTGTAGACACTGAAAAACGCAAATGAAATATTCGCATCTGAATTTGCACGGATAAAGCCAATCGGTTCAGTGCGACCTAGGATGTATGGCTTGCCAAAAATTCACAAGCAATCTTGCCCGCTACGTCCGATACTCTCCATGACTGGCTCAGCGGAATACAGAATATCCAAATGGCTGTGTATGATGATCCAGCCAGTGCTGGATTTCTACTGTAAGCACAACGTCAAAGACACCTTCCAGTTTGTTGAAATCTTACATGAGAACCCAGTTCCATCTTCTGCGCACATGTGTTCCTTTGATGTTGTCAGTCTGTTTACAAACGTACCATTATCCGAGACAATCAATATCTGTGCTGAAACACTGTACCACAACAAGGAAATAAAAGATGTACCATGGCTGTCCGAAGCGGCTTTTCGCCGCTTGATGTTGATGGTTACGAGTGGTGTAGAGTTTTCATTTGACGACATCATGTATAAACAGACGGATGGCGTGGCTATGGGTTCTCCATTGGGTCCGGTCCTAGCCAATGTGTTTGTTGGGTACTGTGAATCGAAGATAGATAAGTGGCCGTACGTCAGGTTTGTGGATGACTCCTTCACGTACATGTACTTTGATTCGAGAGCAGACGCTGACGACTTTCTGCTGAAACTGAATACAATCCATCCTGCACTTAGATTTACGTGTGAACATGAAGAGTCCAATAAGCTATCGTTTCTGGATGTGTTAGTCGAAAAGACCCAGACTGGTGTATTGACTACAGTATACCGTAAACCCACTTTCACCGGGCAGTACATGATGTTTGACTCGTTCTGCTCTTCCCAGTACAAGTCAAACTTAGTTCGTAACCTTGTAAATAGGGCACAACGCATTTGTTCACCAACAAAGCTACAGCAGGAACTTGATTTTCTACGCTCCGTATTTGTGAAGAATGGCTACCCGCAGCAGCTCCTCGACAAACTTCTAACAACTACACCTATCGGACCGTTGCCGTGCCGCGTATTTCTTTGCTTGCCCTGGAAAGGGAAAGAATCGAAGGACACGGCCCGTGTGGTGAAATCCCTAGTGGAGAAAACCTACTTTGCCACCAATGTGGTTACCGTGTTCACTACGATCCGTTCGTTCACGATGTTGAAGGATGTCCTACCAACCCTACAATTGAGTCACCTCATTTACTACTTTGAATGCCGACAATGTGGTAGTCGGTATGTTGGTAAGACCCTTCAACATCTGTCCGAACGTATCAAACAACACGTGCCGCTCTCGCTATTGTCACAGGCGGCTAGGTCCTCCCGACCAAAGCGTGGCCGACCACGTAAGCACCCGACTCCACTGTCCGTTCCGGCAGAGGCTTCTGCTCCACAAACGGTGTCTCGGAAAAACCAACACAGCACGCAGAAATCGGGAACAAACTTTAATGTAAACAAAGACGAACACTGTGTCTTATCTTCATTATCAGCGAGTACCGGTACGTCGGACGCAGACAACCGCAACTCACCAAAGCTGAGAAGGAGCAAACGGCTGGCGGCAGCTCGGTTTGCAGAGGTGACTGGAAAGATGCATCGAAACTCTCCGGATATGGATGATGCCAGCGGAAGAGTTGACGACTGTCAGGTGTTTGGCAATGGCAAGGGAAGACCGGTCAGGAAGAGAACGCGACGGCAGCTGGAGGAGGAGTGTGGAAGCGACGTGTGCAGTGACGATGATGAACCCGGTGGTCAGTTGCTGGGAGTGCCGATGACAGGTGAAGGTGGCAGCGATGATGAAGAGGACGATGACGATGATGACGATGATGGTACAGATGGTGTGAAGGACGGTGGCGGTCAGAAACCAAGTGAAGGCGGAGGCGGTGAGAAGAAGAAGAATACATCGGCAATTAAATTGCATTTGTTGTCTAACCCCGTGTGTCGTGAAAGTTATGATGATTCTTGGTTCAGTGTTGTTCGTTCTGCAAGTACATGTAGTTTCAAGCAGTTGAAAGTTCTAGAAGCAGTCTACATTCGCATTCGTGATCCAAATCTTTGTAAACAAAAAGAAAATGTCACCGCACTTACGCTATTCCAGTAAATTCGCACTCACACACACTTGCACATGCATGTCCATTGTCACACTGCACTTGCTGAATTTCCTATCATTTCTCACCTCACCTATAGTTTATTAACTGTGCAAATTGTTCCTAGGTTTGTACTATATTTCTCACTATGCTTGTATCCTCGCTGTTCCACTCCAAGTGTATAAATCCCATTGTAGTTTCATCATTCTCTTTAGTCACGAATTCCATTGATAATTGTGACAAGAAAACTTTCTGGAATACATGATTCGTCCCCATGGTTGTGATATGAGTGCGCATTTAGTTATATTCATTGCATTATAATCTTTTTAGACAAAAATTATGCTAAGTTTATTAGGGCATAATACAGCTTTGTCAGAAAGCCCTGGAGCCGCGTGTGTGTATGCGTGGTTTATCAATCCTTTGTGTACAGCGTGAATACATAGTGGAACCGAGCATAATTCAGCATAATTCAGCATATTTGTTGGCATAATTCATTAATTGTGGCATAATCAAAAGCATAATTTGACGACTGGCCGAGCATAGTCCGCCAATGGCTACTTCGGGTAAGACTCATGCTATCGAAGATCAGCAAGTAACGTTAGTTAGTTAGTTTTGGAAGAAACATGACTAACTTGCTGGTCACGCGAGGTTCTACACAAAAGTAGCTTCATGGGAGCTCATTTTAGCTCCCTCCCTGGGATCTTATCTGATCTTGGTGGATGTACACACAGTACCCGATCCGGCCACTCGTAGAATCATTGCAGCTAAAAGCGGTCTATAAGTCAGTATAAGTCAAGATCAGTCCCGCCCGATCGCATTTTGACAAAAATTGAACTCGATATATAGCAGGGAGTCGTCAAATACCAGTATTTGACGACTCCCTATGTAAAAGCGCAGTACAGTCTGTCTACTTGTAGTATACAATAACGGCACGTCTCCGAGAGCTTTGTCCAAATATAAACGCACCGCGAACAATGCAGCCGGCCTGGTCCTCAAAAAGAATCCAAGCGCGTAGGGCCAGGGGGAACACTGTCTACGTCTGTAGGCGGAAAACAGCGTGCTATGAAAGCATAGACTACAAATTGTAGCTCAGCTTCAAATCAAACTGACCAGAAGCAGCCAGGCTTTCTGGGGGTGGTTGTGAGAAGTATAATACTACCTAAAGTTCATTATGTACTGTTGCTACATGTACTAGCATGTCAACGCCATCTAATTTCAGGGCCAGTAGGCTGGGCTTTGCGCTGCTCTTACTGCTAGTGCTATCCACTCGTTGCTCATCCATCTGTGTGGAGTATGGAGACGTGCCTCTTGTCCCGGTGGACATCGATTGCAGAGGCTCGCCGTACTCAGGTTTCTGCTGCCGGACCATACGAGAAGCACATAGCAACAATACTGCCTGCGTCCCTGGGCCGTGGCAACACCCAGCGTGTCAGGGAGGTTACTATGCAGTTGGTCCGGAGGCTAGGGCCTGTCCGAATGGGTTCTTCTGTCCCATGAACAAACTGTGCCTGATCAAGTGCTCCCCAGGTGCCTACTGCAAGCAATACAACACGACCGTAGAGACTGCAAGTGAACGGTGTAGTGTGCAGAATCCAGGTGGCTGTTGTGAACCGTACGTTGGATCCGAGAGGCGGATCCCAAACACAGGTTCCAATTACAGCATAGGTTGTGGTGGTGCAACAACTGATCAGCCATGTCAAGAGGGGTATTACTGTCCTGGTGGAGGCGAGAAGATCCTCTGTCCAAAGTCTCACTACTGCCGAGAAGGGTCGCACAAACCCGAGAAGTGCCCATCATTGGCTTTCTGTAAAGCTGGATCAACTGCACCCGCGTTCAACTTGTTTGGAGTTGTGCTATGTGTAGTCTGGGCATGTATTAGTCTCATCGCCGTCCCGGTGTATAAGAAGTTGAACGAAAAGTTTGGCAGCCAGGCGAATGTAGAGGAGGAAATGAAGCCGTTGCCAGCCTTTCATATTCCGCAGGCCATGGTTGCAGTCCATATGGCCAGTCTCACGCCGGCAGCTAGTGTCCTAGGAAATCCTGGAAGCCAAAGCTCAGACCTGCAAGATGCGGAGATGGCACCCCCTTCTTCACAATGGGTTCCACTGTTTCCCCAACAGGTTCATCACGTGCTGAACAAACCACATCGTGGAAGGTCCCAGCACCTCTCACCACAGGCTAAAAGAAGCAGGTCCCTCTCACCACGGCCTGATAGAACCAAGCTACTCACACCACATGTTGAAAGAGGCATGCCCCTCTCACCACAGATGCTGAATGTCTTTAGCCAGAAACCTATGAGGAAGAGAGCAAACACCGACTTGGGACTGGTTGAAGGCGTCCGGAACAAGCTTGCTGCCTTTAAGGACTTGGTCAAGCCGAAAGATTACACCATACATATTGGGTTTGAAAATCTCAAGCTCACTCTCCATAGCAACAAGAAGACAATTGTCAACAATGTGAGTGGCAGCATCAAGCCAGCTGAGCTGACGGCTATCATGGGCAACTCGGGCACTGGCAAGACATCCTTTCTGAACTGCTTGTGTGGCAAGGCGTACTATGCGGAGCGCACTGGTGTACTGCGTATCAATGGTGAGGAAGTGAGTGGTGTTGAGGAGTATCGCAATGTGTTGGGTTTCGTTCCTCAGGATGATACAATGCATACTAACCTGACTGTTCACGAAGTACTCATGTACCAGGCTTTGCTGCGCTCATCACGCCAAATGGCTTACGATAAGATTGCGGAGAAGGTAAGTTTGAAGGTGAAGATAATAATAATTTCACAATTGGATCATGTGACGAGTTGAGAGTAACTGTCCACCACTGTAACTAGATACTAGATACTTTATACAGTCGGAAAGTGCAACAACTAGGCACAAAACTGACAGAGTGCTGAGACATTCGAAGACAGAGAAGAGGAGAAGGAGATCTGTGTCAGGTCTTTGAATGTCTCAGCACTCTGTTAGTTTTGTGCCAAGTTGTTGCACTTTCTGACTGTCACTGAGAAAGTATCTAGTATCTAGTTACAGTGGTGGACAGTTACTTTCAGCTTGTATCCATAATTATGTTCCTTTCCTTTCTCCATTAATTTTATTATTGGCTCAACATCCGAGTTTCAAATTTCACAATTCTTGAACAACAAAAAAGGCATGAAATAGAGTTGTACAGGCGGCGAGGTGATAACAGTTTAAGGATGGCAATAAACAAAATCAGCTGAAGCATCATTAATTTTTACGAAGGTTTTATTGAGATGTCATGAACAAATTCTAGAGAAAGTGAGAAAGTGGTGATGGACCAAGAAATAACTGTGATGGAAATGTACTTGTAATGTGAAGAACAATAATAGGAACGATGAAATGTATAAAAGTGCATAGAACTGGCTTTCGCACAACGCTCATCAGGAAGCATCGTTGTGCTAATTAACAAATTGCAACACAGACTATTGTAAAGGATCAACAGTGATAAATACTTGGTCCGCCAAGTTAAAATTGCCGCTTGTCTTTGCACTTGATTTTTAGGTGTTGTGCCTGTGTCATACAGCATGGAACCACCAATTCACCTTCCGAACATAACCATTGACCATTACATCCGACAACATGGCAGCACAAACCACCACAGGAGTTGTGATCGGTTCGTTTGAGTCTTTTAATTGGAGCTGCCACTGATGAACACGCAAGAAAACACTGCAACCTCCGCTCGAGTCCGTAAAATAGGTCGGGATGTTCGCATTTCAGAGCGATGGAGAATACAGTTTCTGCCTACTTCCAGCTGTCTGGTGGCAAGGATGGTTTACCGCGGGGAGGTATAGAAAAGTTGAAAAAGCGCTTTGCGAGCTTGAATGTCAGTGCTCGCAAAGTACAGCGCCTAGTGAAGAGTTGTCACCAGCAAATCGCTGACGAATAAACTGCACCTCATGTCGACATCTCCAGAAAGTGAGACCAATCTGGCAGACACACTCTGAAGCTCACAGAGGACCGGGCCAAGGAGCGAATCAAAATAAGCACCAACTCTCGGGCAAAGGACTTTCAGGAAACTAGCCGAAAAGACGGGTGCAAGGCGCGAGGACTTAGGTGCAGTACACACAGGTGCTACATCAAGCGGAAGCTAGCACTGCACTGCATGTACAAGTCCCAGCGGCTCGCGTGGCTGGGTGTGGATTAGCAAGTACAACAAGTGCAAGAGGCAATTTGAAAAAAGGACACTGATGTGGCACTGCCTTTTTGTCTCAAACAAAGTCGCATTATTGCGACGAACGGGGATAAAACTTACAGCCAACACGTGGGTAGTCTCATTCAGCTTCTGAGCGGCAAGGTGACAGGCATGCACTGCCTTTGAGCGTGATTCGAGACCGTAGGACAAGTGAAACAAGCTATGAAACATGCAGCAGCTGTCCGGATCGAACGTTTTGAGCTCTTCCTCCAGCGACGATAGTGGCGAGGAGGACGTGTAACGTGCTTGAATTTTCGGCAAAGTTGTTCACTGACATGTAAATTCAGGGCTCACCACGACCGTACAAAGCGTCAATAACGGTCATTTGGATTTGACCAATCAGCACACGGCAAACGGCACGTTTCTTGCAATTGTGGGGTGTTTTCTGAGCTGAACCTGGCTGTACTCTTTGGCTTTAAACATTAGGCCATTGTGGATTCGTGTTCAGAAGGTATGTCCTTGGAGGGTTACCATCTTGAATTTTTCGATTTGGCCTTCGTTTGGCTGAGATCGGATGGTGAAATCACTCAAACTCGAAGACGTGCAAACACGTGAATGAAGAGAAAAATAGAAGTCGGGGACAGTAAAGCAATAGAGAATTCCAAGACCGAGAAAATGAGCTATCGACGGTGAGAATCGGCCAAGTAGAACCGCTGTTTTACTTTTTTGAAGACATCGAGGTCGGCCGTGCGCACTCGCGTGCACCAACAAAACCTGGCAGCCGTGCACATATCTGCAAGTGCAACAAGAAAGGGCCGAGGAGACAGCAAGCGTTCCAAGTGAAGAATTTACCTTCGTGTTGACTCAAGCTAAGGACTCAGGCCAGTCAGGAATCATACCAGTCACTTGTCATCATGGTCATGACTAAGGAATTCATTTGTGGCCAGGAAACTCCACACTCGCAGGGTGATAGCTGCGAGGTCAAACAAAAAAGAGTGCGCCGACCCGTGATCAGGAAACGCTGACGGTTCTACTGACAACATTGGTTAGCTAGATGCCAGGACTCCAGTTCACCAGTATATCACGGACATGTCTTGGTCGACATGCACAAGCAGATTGAGAGAAATGACCCAGATTGCTTGGAGAAAGGACGTCTTCTCCTCGTGTCTTTCCTGGCATCAAACAACAAGATTCTCTTTGGCACTGACCCTTTGCTGTACAGACTAGACCAGGGAGTTGTAAAATACTGGTATTTTACAACTCGACTGTACAGCGCTGTACATTGATTAGCATGAACTCGGGTGCGTAGCCGCTATGACTGCGCCAACGCTGGCCTGTGCGGCAATCGCCATTTTTCAAAATGGTGGTCGATGCTTTTTGAATTTTGTATGGTCGTGGTGAGCCCTGAAATTATCATGTACATAGTGTTTTGTGATTGTGGCATGCTTCAAATATATGTATTTTCTTCCTAAGACAAGTGTGAAGATAAGCACCAATTGTAACTAGGTGCACCAAGTAACACCTAAACAATACCAAAAAAGTATCACAAGGTATTCTTACAAGATACCATGTGCGTGAAAGATAACAATCAAACACTCCAAGGGGACAAAATTCAAGTATGAAGCAACACTAGTGACAGAATTCTGTCTCTCTCGCAATAAAACCTTCGTAACATGACGCTTCAGCTGATTCTGTTTATTGCCGCCATCCTAAAATAGATTTGTTTCCAGCTTGAGTCTGCACAATGGGTAAAGAAAAGGGAATTATTGACTTGGCCACGGGTGACTCTATCTGCGTGAGCGCAGTCACGGCGAAGGGAGAACATGTCAGAGAGGAGTGAACTGTAGATATTGTGAATGCAACGTCGGAACACGAAGAATAAGGGAGATGTTAGAGACATCCTGTTTCAATGAGCTCAACATAGTGAGGGCAGTGCTCGTCTCCTCTCCCAAGTCTCCCCAGCCGAGGTCAGGTACATACCCAATCCTAGATGGGTCTCATGGGGGGGGGGGGGGGGATCCAACCCACAACCTCACGTTTGAAACCACTCGCCCACTTAGAGTATCATTCTATTTAAACAAATTGGCGTGACCGTCTGCTATGCAAACAGTAGGAAATGTTGTATCACTCACACTATTGCAATAATACGCCCGCACCACAATGTCCACACACACACACACACACACACACACACACACCTCAGACCTCAGATATGCCCATCGCGGAAGCAATGATAGCGAACAGCTATGTTAGACATAGCAACTTGTGCTGGGATTACACCATTCAACAGCTTGCAAGGCTGATGAATTGACCGCCACTATTTTTAGCCTGGTATCCACCACACAGCTGTTTTGAAGTGATTTTTTCTGGCCAGTGAATGCCTATTTTTCATTTTTCCATTTTTTTCTTCTTCACACACACACACAGTTGTCGCACTAACCCCCACTCATCTGTTTGTCCACATCCTTTACTGCTGTGTTTGCTGCTGTCGGTTGTAGGTAAGGAATATTGAGCACCTCCTGAGTTTGCACATGATTCGGCACTCCATCATCGGCTCCCAATTCTCCGCTAAAAAGATTTCCGGCGGCCAGCGGAAGCGTGTCAACATTGGAATGGAGTTAGTTGCTGAACCTAGCATTCTCTTCCTTGATGAGCCAACTAGCGGACTGGACAGCGTAACCAGCAAGAATGTATGTCTATTACATGGTCAGCTTTACCTTGTCATTGTTGAGACAAGTTTATTAAAAAAAAAGGAAATTTCAAGGAGTTGAAAACTGGGATCTCCTAGAATTACGGTCAACAAACGCCGAACATTTGTGTGCTGACCGCCATTTTCCAGACGATAAAGAGAGCTCCATGTCTGTCCTTCTTCCTGTGGGAAAAAATGCTTCATGACTTTTTTTATCACACACAGTGAAACCTGTCTAAGACGACCGCTCAAGGGACCTTCAAAATGTGGTCTCTGTTACCAGGTGGTCTCCCTATCCAGGGTCATTTGACTGGAAATAGCATCCCTTGACAGGCGCGTGCCCCGTATGGGTTCCTGGGTGCCCGGAACCCCCCTTTTTTGCTCAAAATGCAGGATTTTGCTTCATTTTTGAAATTTTTCCTGGGGGGACCTCCCGGAACCCCCTTTGAAGGGCACCGGCGTACGCGCCTGCTTGATCCTGGCTTCAGTGATCTCCTTGAACAGGTGGTCGCCTTATCCGAGTGGTCGCCTTGACAGGTTTTACTGTACTAAAGAGTTATTATTGCAAAGAACAACAGTTACTGTACATAAAGAGTTACTGTACATAAAGAGTTACTGTACATAAAGAGTTACTGTACATAAAGAGTTACTGTACATAAAGAGTTACTGTACTCCAAATATAATATGGTTATGGTTCAGTGAAACGAAAATACTTCAGGACAGTGAGTGGATCTGCTTCTTTGAAACATAACCTTATACCCTATTTTGCAAAATTGCCCGGTGCTCAAGCTCAAGATTGATTATATAAGACGAAGGAGTGTGCTACTGAACAATCTGGCAATGTCATCGTGCATGAGGGCATGCTGCTGCACCGAGAAACACAGCCCGTCGGCTCGAACACACATGCACACGCGCACACACACACACACACATGCACACACACACACACACACACACACACACACACACACACACACACATGCACACGCGCACACACACACACATGCACACACACACACACACACACACACACACACACACACACACACACACACACACACACACACACATGGACACTTTAATGTTTTTAAGCCTGTGGACCCTTGCTGTGCCAGACACCCTACATCGCTTTTTGACATTACAAGTCTAATGTATAGACTATTGTAAAGCGGGTGATTTTAGCGAGGCTGGTGATATTTTAGCCATTTTAGCAAAATGTGTGTTTTTTTCGCTGAACTCAGATCGCTAAAATAATTATTGCTTCGCAGAATGGTCCTGATCCATAAATGCAAAAAAAATGTACCCGCTGAAATGATCCGTTCCACAGTACTCTTCTTCTACTGTGTACCTATGCACTGTCTCCACAATGAGCACTGTAAGGGTTTGGGTCACATAGCGCCGGGCCGGGAGTGCCTTTCGCAACCTCTCCTGGTGGATTGTGCATAATGTGAATTATTGCAACTAGGGCTGAAACAATTATACCGATAACTCACCGATATCGATCGTTAAGAGTGCAATCGATGATCGTTAGTGTTCAAAACGAGTGCTAACGATTTTTATGCATGCATATCAGTGACAGCATTCTAACCGTTGCACTCCATTTGATAGTGAATACGAGTACACTTGTGTACTTTCAAGCACAATAAAATTGATGTGTGGCTTTGAAAGAGAACGGGAGAGAAGACTTTGTCTTTTTGCCTCATTTCTGGGAGAGGTCGGAGATAAGAGCAGTTGCCAGAGGGTGATGACAAGGTTCAGATGTCAACAGTCCAGTGCTAACGTACCAAAGGTATCATGGAATTTCTTCCTAAACGGGTGTTCGAGGTACACGGGTAGAGCCAACAAGAATCGAGAAAACCAATAAATTGATCGTTAATGATATTAAAATTGGTTGATCGTTAGGAGTTATTGAACGATCGTTTTAGCCCTAATTACAATGCGCTCCAAATTCGCCTGATAAATCATGTGTGGTGGGGGCTGTAGACGTTGGGCAATGCCCAGCTCTTGCGATCTGCCTCGGCACCGATCACCTACAATTTTGATCAAAAGTGGTATGTGAACCGTGCACGCCAGTGATCGCCGGTGCCGGGACACAGACCTTTTCAACATTTCAAACCAAGGCTCGTCCTATAATTTCCTAAATTGACGCTAAACATTAGGTCTATTCACCACTCTTTTAGTTGCTTCAAAGGTGTGAAATAATGTCAGCATACCAATCCATTCTTCTCGTTGCATGCATAATTTCGACTCCATCGCTTACTCTGCAGTAAAAGGCATCACCAAGTGACCATCACGGATAGAGCCTTACACTGTCCCATTACCTACTAAAGAAACAATAGAATTGAAGTTCAAATTTTCAATCCAGGCTGTCATAGCATTTTGGGTACAGTTTGTAATGCTTAGTAGTAGATTTGGTTCTACAGCAGTATTCGGACCATATGCATGTGATCTCTTTTGGCACGGGGGCTGACCGGGAGCTGGCTCGCTGCCGGTGCCTCCTGGCGCGTACCGGCGATATGTGAGCCAACCCAAAGGCTGGTGGTGGTCAACTGGTGATGTTCTCTATTATTTCTACAATCATACGAATACTGAGTATAAGGCTGGTCGTCAGGGGCGTCGGACACGGTCCTGTCACTACGGTATTGACCGTACCACTATTTGCCCCAAGTACCCTGTGAATCAATAAAAATGCACTGATTTGGGCTCTAATTTCCCAAAATATTCGGCTCAGCCATCCTTCCCACACATGTGAATTGTACTTCACATGGCTGACCGTACCACACTAAATTACCTTCCGACGCCCCTGCTGCTGGTGGTGGTGATAAAAACTATCTGTTGTCTTCTGCACTCTGCAGGTTATTGAGCTGCTGAAGGTGATTGCACTTGTTGGTAAACTGACTATAGTCATGGTCATTCATCAGCCTCAGTATGACATCTTTCAACAATTTGATAACGTCATTCTGATGGAAGCAGGCGGAAGAATTGCTTACCAAGGCCCCGTTCCCACAGCAAAGGTGAGTTGCCATACTCATGTGTGGGTGGGTGGGTGTACACGTGCCTGCATGTGTGAGAGTGGGATGGGGCCAAGGGGGGGGGGGGGAGGGGGGGGGGCAAACTTTGACAGTTTGCGCACCACAAGAGCATACAAAACTATTGCGCAACTACTAAAATTCTTCTCAAAAACTGGCATACGAGTCGTAAATAGCCCCAGGAGTCGTTTCAGCTGGCACCAGCCGATTTGATTGTATACCAGTTCTATGTGCATGTGGGCATGTACACGTCTTCTCTGCAAGTTTACACGTACATACATGTCTGGACTGTGCGTTCATTGCTCAACCGAACCCATGCAAGTGCTCCACTCTGCACGTACGGTATTGTGGGGCTTTTTCGCCATTTGAAAACCAAAGGACATGTTGCCCAGTGTGTCTACTCTCGCCCCACATGTTAGTCACTATGGCCCAGGGGCATAACTGCTTGCTGTCCATAGCATTGGTTATACAGTCAACTTTGCGAATAACGACACTCGGCGGCGCATCAGAAAAGTGTCTTTATTTGCGAAGTGTCCTTATACCCGAAGTCCCCTTTGAATGTATGTGTGTACGAAACTCTCAACATACGAATTCCGTGGGAACTGGAGGATTCACTAAATTGATATCCTCATCACTGACATCAGGCTCATGCTCATTATTCCAACAAGGCTCGGAATACATCTTGACTCTTCCCTTCAATAATTATTCGCTCCAAAGAAGTCCAAGCAATGGACGACAGATAACTCGAAAACAAGAATGATTTCATTTTACAAGAGCATAGCAAAAAAGGAACAGCATGCGCACACAAAGGGGTGCGCGCGTATGTAGGACAAGTTATACGTGCACACGTTACACGTATCTGTGTCCGCTGAAGAAGTTACCGGTACGTAGAAACAGTTACGTAGTATGAGACGCACACTACAAACGAGCGTCTGCAATAGCCAAACGGAATGAAAACCGGTAAATAAATATCTGAGAAGACTGTAATTGTAATGTAAGTTAGTTAGTGACTTCAGACAAATAAGAAATAAATGAATAAATAGATTCTTGAACTTTCTAGCGAAATGAGCATTTCCAACAATGTGAACCCATATTTTGTATAGTATGACATGCATATCAAAATGAAGCTCTTTCCATGCTCTATGTCAATGTGTACTTTATTTCTATAATTATTACAATTGAAAGGAACTATAAGACAGTCAATATGCAAGGGAAATAAATAGAAAAGTAAGCCTTTTGGAGCCATCTACAGGGACATGTACAATGTATGATGATTACTGTAAATAAAGCACTCACTTTGTGGTTTTACGAATACTCGTAAGGACAGAATATTAGTTGCACACTCGGCAAGTAAAGATAAGAAGTGAAAGAGCACAAGAAAAGAACAATGCAAGAAGACAAAACACACGGCGAGCGGCAGCCATGTTTTTAGGTCATTAACCAATCAGCAATCTACAAAAACCGGTCGCCGACGAAATTCTAGAAACAGTAGCATAATTAACCAATCACAGTTCACAGCTCTGGAATATTCTAGAACAATAATACTAGCAGCCAATCACAATTCACAACAGACAGTCGTACGGGTAAAGTGGGGAAATACGGTAGCCACACGACTCATACATTACTCACGAGCGATTCCGGAAAGGGTAATAACATGCAGATACAAAATACGCAAGGAGAGAAAAATGTAACTAACTGCCCGGGGGGGGGGGGGGGGGTTGAACCTAGGAATCTGTATCAACACAAGCTCTACAAATAAATACTCTTTTACTGCGAAAAATATACTTTATATCAAAATGCAACTCCTGCACATGTATATGTAGGTGTGCTGGTAACTCCAACTTATCGCCCCTCCCCCCGAGACACACACATTGTAACGTTTGGGTTTGTCCCAACGTCAAACACACGACTCCACTCAACAGCTCCAGACAACGACTGAGGTTTATTTACAAGAAGAAGGAAAGATAAAGATAAACTGTCATGATGTGTATATGTACACAGTACGGGAATGCATAGGTAACTGATCCAGGAACGGATCGGGTACATCGATAGACTCATGAGAGTACAGAGTACATAGAACGATAATTATATAGATTGTGTCATCCATTTATGGGTAAGCGAATGGGACCACAACATCTCCCATTTTATGTTTGAAGAGAAACGCAAAACTCAGAGAATACAGAGTCCTGCACATACAAACAAGAGAGGGCAGAAACACATAATACTGAGCAATGTGTTCACAGGTCGAGTCTCGGCGGCGGCCGGGAAGGACGTGTGGATCGGCGCAAGGCAGGTTGAAACTCTACATCAGCGGATGGAGGTTCAGGTGCACTGGCATTCAACTGCGGCGCCGGTTGCACATCGGGCAGTATCTTGATATGGCGACGGTTACGGCGGTACTCGGTGAGGTCGTCTGTGGCTACGGTATACGAACGCTCATCGGTACGTTCAGTGACAACTGCTTCTGACTCTAGGTCAGGGATCCAAACTCTTGTACCTTGCTCTAGTACTGGCAGTGGCTGTACTCGATGTGCGGCATCATAGCTAGCACTCTGGCGTGTCTTGCTGGCTGCCTCACGTTTCCGTAGTGCTTCGATATCCGGCCAGCCGGGACGGAGCGCTTCCTTCGTAGACGGAAGACGGGTGCGAAGACGGCGACCGAATAGCAGTTCTGCTGGTGAGAACCCGTTCGCTAATGGTGTGGACCGGTAGACGAGAAGGGCATCGTCAAGGTTGTCGTTAGTCTTGAGAAGACGCTTGACGGTTTGTACTGCTCGCTCCGCCTCACCATTGCTCTGCGGATATCTCGGGCTACTCGTACGGTGGCTGACTTTCATCACGGTTGCGAAGGCTGAGAACTCGGCACTGGCGAATTGCGGGCCATTGTCCGATACCAGGACTTCGGGTACACCGTGTATCGCAAACAACTTCAGCAGTTCCTTGATAATTGACTGCGATGTCGTGCTGCGGACCGGAGATGCGTGGATATACCGAGAGAAATAATCCACGACGACGAGGTAGTCATGACCATTGTAGTGGCAGAGGTCTACGCCTACCCTCTCCCATGGCAGAGATGGGAACTCAGTTGGTTGAAGAGGCTCCGGTGGTTGGTAGCGATGCTTGGAGCAGATGGTGCAATTCCGGACATACTCAGCAACTGCCATCGAGATACCTGGCCACCATGCAGACGACTTTGCGCGGGCTTGACACTTAGTGATGCCTTGATGACCATCGTGTAGCTTGGCTAGGGTGCTAGCGCGTTCTGCTACTGGAATCACGATGCGGAATCCATGGTAGAGGAGACCACCATGAGTAGACAGTGAAGCGCGCTCATTGCGATACGGTTCCAAGTCAGCGGGGACTCGAGCTGGCCAGCCGTGGAGTGTGTAGTGCTGTACTTTCTGTAGCGTGACATCATTGGCGGTTGCTTCTACAAGCGCGTGCTCCTTCTCTGGGCTGCAGAGAGAGGCGAGGACTGCCGCTATTGTCGCTTCGGAGTCCCCGTGAAGCTCCGATTCCTTGACGGGTGCTGTAGGCAAGGGGGCTCTGGACAGAGTGTCAGCTACTACCATGTTCTTGCCAGGAACGTACTCGGCCTGCGCGTCGTAGCGCATCAGACGTATCAACAGGCGTTGGCACCGGAGTGGCACACGGTCCAGATCGCGACTGTTGATTAACGGGACCAACGGCTTGTGGTCGGTGTGAACAGTGAAACGCGGTCCACCGTACAGATATTGGTGGAAGTGTTCGCAACCCCAGACAGTGGCTAGGAGCTCTTTCTCTATCTGGGCGTAGCGTTTCTCAGCGGCTGATAGTGTGCGCGAGGCATATGCTACCGGCTTCCATTCACCATTCTGGAACTGGAGAAGAGCAGCACCTAGACCGTAGCTGCTGGCGTCAGCAGTCAGCAAAGTGGGTGCTTCCAGGTCATAGTAGCAGAGGCATGGTGCGTCTGCGGCGAGTTGCTTCAGGCGGTTGAAGGCTTCGGTGTGCGCAGCAGTCCACTGCCATGCAGTGTCATTGCAGAGCAGGTCGCGTAACGGCGCAGCAACGGTAGACAGCTCGGGCAGGAACTTAGACAGATAGGTGATCAACCCTAGTGCACGACGGAGTTCGTCGACATCGCTAGGCACTGTGAGCTTCTCTATGGCTTCGAGCTTAGCTGGGTCTGGGTTGACACCCTTGTCACTGATCTGGTGGCCCAGGTACTTCAGTGACGTGCGGCGGAAGCGACACTTGTCCGGATTGAGCGTTAGACCGGCGTCTATGAGTCGCTGCTTGACGGCTTCGAGGGCAGCATCGTGTTCACTCATCGTCGCAGCATACACAATGATGTCGTCAATGAATACGGCCACATTCGGGATGTCACCGAGGAGCTGCTGGAGACGGCGCTGGAAAATTTCCGGAGCACTGGTGATTCCGAACGGCAGGCGTTCGAACTTGAACCGGCCGAACGGGGTGATGAACGTGGTGAACATGGAGGCTTCTTCTGACAGGGGAATTTGCCAGAAACCAGATGCGGTGTCGAGTGTGGAGAAAATGGTTGACCCATTAAGCTTTGCCAGCGTGTCGTCCACAGTAGGCAACGGAAAATGCTCCCGTTTGACACTCGCGTTGAGCTTTTTCAGATCGACACACACTCGGACATTGCCATTCGGCTTCAACACCGGGACCATCGGCGCACACCAGTCTGTCGGCTGTTCTACCTTCGTTATCACCCCCTCAGTTTCCATCCGTTCCAGCTCGCGACGAACCTTGAGGCGGATATGGATGGGCACCCGGCGTGCGTTGACGCAGTTGTATGGCTTTGCATCGGGGCGAAGCTCAATCTTCACTGGGTCGCCGAGCATGCAACCAAGGGCAGGGCTAGCAGTTGACACACCTATGTGGCCTCGCTGGACTAGACCCATTCTCTGCGAGGTTTGGCGGCTTAGCAGGTTGACACCACCAGTGGCAATGACCAGGAGTGTGATGGAGTACGAGAC